AATCACGAAAAATCTGCCAGTAGGTATCTAAGTTCCTATGGAGTGGAGCTAGGGCTGCCCAGCCTCCTCTCCCCACAGTGTCAGCAGATCATACAACTCAGCTGTGCTCCAAGAGGGAGAGTGTTTGCTGTATGGAGCCACCCATGGTCCACTGGGAAGATGCAATATGAGCTCTATACACCCAGCAAACAGGAAGTGGAATTTCAAAATTTCCCAGGCCTTTAAAGGGGAGGGGGCAAATGTCTGTGTATCTGGATGCACAGCAGCAGATTTCAAACTGCTGTCCAGAGCAGTTAAGATGGGCATTGTGGGACACCTCTTAGAAGCTATTAACAGCAACAAAACCAAGCGCAGTGTCTACACTGACACTTTGTCGATCTAACTTTGCTGAAAAATGCTCTATGCCTCTTAGGTGGTTTTATTTTGTCAGCAAAGCATGAGAGTTTTGCCGGAGGAAGGAGCATTGTAGTGTGTACACCTCCAATATTTTGTCAACAAAAGCTGCCTTTTGCTGACAAAACGGTGTAGTGTAGCCAAGGCCTTAGTGTATGTCTACACTGCGCGCCTTACAATGGTGCGGATGAACCACTGCAGCCGTGCCATTGTAAAGCAAGCTCTATAGCCGCTCTTCATCACAAGAGAGCTCTCCTGTCAACAAAATAAAACCATCCTGAACGAGGGGCGGTAGCTTTGTCGCCGGGAGAGCATCTCCCGCCAATGAGGTGCTGTGCACACAAGGACTTTTTGTCATTAAAACTTTTGTTGTTCAGCGGGGTGTTTTTTCACACTTCTGAGCAACAAAAGTTTTAGTGTAGTGAACAAAAGTGCAGTGAAGACATTCTGCTAGAGATCTTGAGTGGGGAAAAAATGATCATGGGAAATGAAACACACTTTCACCTCCAGAGATAGATTGTGAAGGCCAGAGTTGAAACACACCAATGGAGCAGTTTGTTGCCAATGGACTTCAGTTTCTGGAGCTGTCAATCTGGACCCTATCAGAACTATTAAATTCATTCATTTTAAACAAAGAAAAATGATCTTGAGACAGTAACAAAAGGTGCAGTCATTCATCATCTCTTTTCACAGGTACCTCCCTCCCACAAGACCAATGCTGGCACTGGGCTTGACGAACACTGCTTTTCTGCTCTCTCAGCAGGATGGATCCTGCAATAGCAGCCACTGGGGGGAGGAAGCAGCTCTGGGATTATCCATCAGTAAGGTTAAGATTCTGTCATGGATATTTTTAGTAGAAGTCAGAGACAGGTCACAGGCAACAAACAAAAATTCACAGAAGCCCATGATCCATCTCTGACTTTTACAAAGAACACCCAGGGCAGGGGACAAACAGAGCACTGCTGGGGTTTGCAGCTGCTCCAGCCCCACTGCTGCTCCTCCTGGCCCCCAGTCAGCTGTTCGGTGGCTCTGGGCTGACCACTGGTAAGATGTTTGGTGGTCAGGGCTGATTGCCGGACAGCGTGGCCACTATTCCAGCAGCACCGGGGCTGACAGCTGCTCCAGCCCCGCCACAGAAGTAGTCCCGGAAAGTCCCAGAATCAGTGACTTCCGTGACAGAATCATATCCTTATTCATCAGGAAAAACTGGTGGAGTGAAGCATTACAGTGTGAGATGGTGTGGGTGAGGGGGAGGGACTCTCTACACTTGCACAAAAGTGGAGTGTGAGGGTGGAGTGGGCAGACTAGGGACGACATCCCCAGTAGTTGTGCTTGTGCCTCCCCCTGGCCCATGTTTCAACAGCACCGTGTCTCATCCCCTTCCCTGTCCTGGCCACGCACCTGTGCTTGAGGACAGCGTGGGAGGCATTGGGGGATCTCCTAGGCACTGGGTATTCCTGGAGGAATTCGGCACCACTGCGCATGCACAGAATTTACGCCCCCTGCAGATTTCTCTGCTTCCCCTGCAGTAGAATGACTTTCTGACAGGGAAGCAAAGGGAAACCACAAAAGCGGTCATACGACCCTCCCCAGCAGTATGTTTCGGGTACCCAGGGCAGCTGGTAGAGTGGTAAATCACTGTGGGGTAGGGGGCAGGACTGGGAAAGACCTGGCTGGTGGTTCCTCCCCTGCGCTGGGCTCAGCTCCTAGTCCCGGCTGGGCAGGATGGGACTTTCTCTTCCCCTGCATGGCATCCGGAGCCGGGTCACACCCACCCCCAGATTTCTCCCCTGGCTGCAGGAAGCTCTTCAAACTGTTCCCCACCCCCATGCTTCCTGCACCCATTGCTCCTCAGTTGCAGGGGAAGGCATCACTGTAGAGGGAGCTGCTCCCCCATCGGCCCAACCCCCATGTATCCAGATCCTCTTACTGAACCTCGCCCGCCGAACTCAGAACCCCCCCTTGCTGAGTCTACTCCCCTTGCACCTGGACCACCCCGCTGAGCCATCCGCACCCAGATCCCACCCCATCATGCCCCAAACAGCTGCACCTGGTTTCCCACCCCACCACACCACCTGGACCCCCCACTGAGCCTACCACACGCAGACCCTCCTGCTGAGCTCTATCCCCCCACACACCCAGACCCCCCACGGAGCCCCACCCACCTTCACCTGGACCCTCTGGAGACTCCCATTATGGTTGCAACCAGAACCCCACAACAAGCCGCTGTGCATCTGGATCCCCCCCCCCAAGCCACCCACACCCAGATTGCCCCACACAGAACCCTCTCAACCCACACCTACGATCCTGCCTGTCCCCACCTGGTGCCCCTGCCACAGAGGGGACAGGCCCTGTCCTTGCGTCGTGTCAGGCTTGGGTGCAGTCTCACTGCAGAGCCCACGTCCCCGGGGGGGAGCTGCACAGTGATCCCCCATCTCCGTGCCCACAGTGGCCTATGCGCCCCAATGCCATGCTGGAGCTGCCACATTTATTTGACAAATAAAATAGGCAGAATTTTTCAGAGTTGTATATCATTTGGCACAGAACGCCCTCGGGAGTAACTGGTTAGTTGCGACTACAAAGCAGACAGCCTGCACCGCGAGCGCTGCGGAGCCCCCGTCCCAGCCGCGCCTTTCCCCCGGTCACCCCCGCTTTTCGCGGCCACTCGCTCAGCGAGCCGATTCTGACAGCAAAGCCGGGCGGGCTTCAGCAGTTGCCACTGCGCATGAATCATAGAATCATAGAATATAAGGGTTGGAAGGGACCCCAGAAGGTCATCTAGTCCAACCCCCTGCTCAAAGCAGGACCAATTCCCAGTTAAATCATCCCAGCCAGGGCTTTGTCAAGCCTGACCTTAAAAACCTCTAAGGAAGGAGATTCTACCACCTCCCTAGGTAACGCATTCCAGTGTTTCACCACCCTCATAGTGAAAAAGTTTTTCCTAATATCCAATCTAAACCTCCCCCACTGCAGCTTGAGACCATTACTCCTCGTTCTGTCATCTGATACCATTGAGAACAGTCTAGAGCCATCCTCTTTGGAACCCCCTTTCAGGTAGTTGAAAACAGCTATCAAATCCCCCCTCATTCTTCTCTTCTGCAGGCTAAACAATCCCAGCTCCCTCAGCCTCTCCTCATAACTCATGTGTTCCAGACCCCTAATCATTTTTGTTGCCCTTCGCTGGACTCTCTCCAATTTATCCACATCCTTCTTGAAGTGTGGGGCCCAAAACTGAACACAGTACTCCAGATGAGGCCTCACCAATGTCAAATAGAGGGGAACGATCACGTCCCTCGATCTGCTCGCTATGCCCCTACTTATACATCCCAAAATGCCATTGGCCTTCTTGGCAACAAGGGCACACTGCTGACTCATATCCAGCTTCTCGTCCACTGTCACCCCTAGGTCCTTTTCCGCAGAACTGCTGCCTAGCCATTCGGTCCCTAGTCTGTAGCTGTGCATTGGGTTCTTCCGTCCTAAGTGCAGGACCCTGCACTTATCCTTATTGAACCTCATCAGATTTCTTTTGGCCCAATCCTCCAATTTGTCTAGGTCCTTCTGTATCCTATCCCTCCCCTCCAGCGTATCTACCACTCCTCCCAGTTTAGTATCATCCGCAAATTTGCTGAGAGTGCAATCCACACCATCCTCCAGATCATTTATGAAGATATTGAACAAAACCGGCCCCAGGACCGACCCTTGGGGCACTCCACTTGATACCGGCTGCCAACTAGACATGGAGCCATTGATCACTACCCGTTGAGCCCGACAATCTAGCCAGCTTTCTACCCACCTTGTAGTGCATTCATCCAGCCCATACTTCCTTAACTTGCTGACAAGAATACTGTGGGAGACAGTGTCAAAAGCTTTGCTAAAGTCAAGAAACAATACATCCACTGCTTTCCCTTCATCCACAGAACCAGTAATCTCATCATAGAAGGCGATTAGATTAGTCAGGCATGACCTTCCCTTGGTGAATCCATGCTGGCTGTTCCTGATCACTTTCCTCTCATGTTCCCAGAGCTCGCGCATGCTCAGTAACAACACGGCACTCATTCTGAGGGGAGGTAAATTCTGACACTACGGGCAGACGGGGGCTGACCGGGGCTCACCACAGGAGCCAACCCGCTAGAAGGGGTCGCCCCCAGCGCCCACCCGCAGCCGCTGACCTTTCAGAGACCCGTTGCCCCATTTTCGCGCCTCCTTCTCACTAACGCGTAGACACCCACCTGCAGCCAAGAGCAGCAACGCTGCGGCCTGTCTTGCCGATCCGCTTATGCAGCCGCTGCACGCTGATTGGCTCAGCCGGCTGTCAGTCCCTCGATCCCTGTGCTCGGAGTGGCTTCTCGCGTTGTCCTCAGAAGTAACCCCGCCCTCCTGTCTTTCCACCTCTCCCGCCCCATCACGGAGCAGCCACCATCCCTAGTGGGCTGGTGATTGGTTCATCGTCCCGTCACTTACACGGTCGCCGGTGGATGATGTGTTCTGGAAACTCGCTGAGAAAGGGAGCTGCGCGCGCCGGCGCTGGTCCCAGGGTGGGAAGGCGCGCGCCCTGTTGAATTTTTCCCCAGTACCAGGAACGCGCACTGCGCACGGCCCCGAGTCGCACGGGAGCGCGCTTCGTGATCTGTAGGCGGGAGCCGTTGACGTCCACGTGCTGAAGGGCGGGGCTAAGACGTCGAGCCACTGACCCTGGCGCCTCCGCCCGCCCAGGGCTCCTGCCCCCCTTCATTCGGGGGGCTCACACCGGCCCCCGAGTGGGAGGTTGGGTTCCCCCCCCCCGGCAGGGCTAAGAGGATTTTGCCCCGGGGTTTTCGAGGAGACCGTGACATTCCCCTAGTGGCCAGGCGCGCTCCCGGACCCGCCCGCGGAGCAGCCTGGAGGCCTGCGGGCTCCCGAGAGCTGGGGCGGGCTCCCCTCAGCCGGTGGCTCGGGGCCGGTGGCCTCCGCCCAGCGATTCCTTATGGGCAGCGTGCGCTGGGCCTTCCCCTGCGCCGCCTGGGCCCCGCGCCGGGATGAGTGGCTGCTGGCCGCCCGCCTGGTGCAGCCCGAGGAGAAGGACCGCGTCCGCCAGTTCGCCTTTGCCCGGGATGCCAAGGCTGCCATGGTAGAGGAGGCTGCCGCGCTTTATGGCGATAGCGACGGGGGGGAGCCGCGTGTAACGAGGGAGTTACGAGGGCAGGAGGAAACGCGGGTCGTGTATTTAACGCAGCGCCAGGTCTTGAGCCGAGTGCCTCTTATGGTTATTAAGAGCCCTGCACATGCACGGTGCTTTGCCTGTGTAAAACACAAGGTCCCTGCCCCCGTCTGCTGGAAGATACGGCAAAACCTGGCTTTTCCTCCAGCTGAACCTGCGGCAGGGCAGCCGGAGTGTCCCGCTGCCAGCAGCCGTAGCCAGCGCTCCAGGCCCGACACTGGCTTTCTGAGAGGAGTTCAAAGTGTTCGTGTTAATTTATAAAGCTCGACGGGCATGTCCGTACTGGACCTGCATTTAGGAGCAAACCTCCCAATCCTGGTCTATAGACTTGCAGTAGCAGCCCCCCTCCCTGGGCTTGAGAGACCCAGACTTAATCTGAAGGCAACATATACACAGCTGTTTTTTAGCATGCTAGTCCAAGGCTTACAAGCCCAGATAGCACAAGACTGTGGTCCTGGGCTGGGAGTCTCAGTCCCAGGTGCAGTATCCACGTAACTGGCATAGGTCCTTCATACCTGAGATACTGCTTGTCTCACCATGACATGCTGCCATAGTTTAAATCAGCTGAAGTCGTGGAGGCAGCTGCAGGCTGGGCTTTGCTGTAAAAGAAAAGGGACTGCTGGCAGGGTGATCTCTAGTTCAGGGGTATCTCTTTCCTTCGCCCTCCCGTAATCCAGAGTAGCCCAACTTTTGACCTTCAGTGTATGCTGCAAGGCACATCTTTTTTGGAGGCAGTTTGAGGAATCAAATACACCAAACCATGACCAGTCGCTGTTGTCTTACTGGTATTCGTTATAGCGGGGAGAGGAGTTCTGTCTGTGGAATATCCACAGAAAACAGGTCACAAGGGATTGTGAAAGAATTCTCTCAACCTCTTCTTGTTTTATAACTTTATTTCATGAAATAAAAACCAGCAAAAATGTGAGGTTGTATAACTAGGAAGCATACTATGTAAGAATATGAACTGTGTATCTTTTAAAACTCTGCAAAGGTGAAGTTCAAGCTTTATATCAATAATTTGAGTAATCTAAATTATAACTAATTGTTTTATTAATGATAATTTTTAACTGTTCTACTTCCACAAGCCCTCCATTTAGCTTTTAAATGATTTTTAACAAAAGTAACATTAATAGGAAAGCTGAGAGAGAGAGTTTTAAATAAATGCAAAGAAATATTCACTATTGCGGGTGGGGGAATGAAACATCCTCAGCAGAAAGGTGATGAGCTGGTGAAAGGAGGGAAATTCTATTTCAGATAATATGAATCTTTAGAAGGGGGATTGCGTTGTACTGTGCTGCATAAATTATTGATACATCACAAATAAATGCATGTGTAAAATGTATCTGAGCTGGTGAATATTTTAGCTTTTTTATAAAAAGAAAAGGAGTACTTGTGGCACCTTAGAGACTAACCAATTTATTTGAGCATGAGCTTTCGTGAGCTACAGCTCACTTCGTCGGATGATGAAGCTTGCATCCGATGAAGTGAGCTGTAGCTCACGAAAGCTCATGCTCAGATAAATTGGTTAGTCTCTAAGGTGCCACAAGTACTCCTTTTCTTTTTGCGAATACAGACTAACACGGCTGTTACTCTGAAACTTAGCTTTTTTATTTATCTCATGCTATAGTTTTTGTAAATAGCAAGTTTCTTTAAGTACAAAGTATAACTTAGCCCTATTTGCCAAGTAAGTAAACTAGTTGGTATTTCAGCAGTTATAAATTGTTCTTTGTACATGGCACAATGGTTCCGTGTGCATCATTTTAAACTTTTTTTTATTTCATAGGCTGGTCGTCTGCTGATAAGAAAATTAATTGCAGAAAAACTGTGTATACCTTGGAATGAAATACATTTGCAAAGGACATCTAAAGGAAAACCCTTCCTGGTGAACGACATACTCGGTAGCCATCCCAGTTTCAATTTTAATATCTCTCATCAAGGGGATTATGCAGTTCTTGCAGCTGAGCCTGAGCTTCAAGTTGGCATTGATATAATGAAGACTAATTTGCCAGGTAACGTATTACTGTAACCAAAGCAAATTTTAGAGAGTCTAACTATTGAATATTTTAAGGTTTCCATAAAAGTTAACCGAAGTCCTTGCAATTTAGTGTTGTTGAAATAGAGAGAGTTAGCCAGCACTTTTGATTTTTTTTAAAACCATTGATTTATTTGCTTATTTATTGCTGTGAAGTCTCTGAAGTATATATTGCGCTTTTTTGTTGCATTTCTGACTGTGGATCTTTCTGTTTATCTTTCCAAGTTTGAAATACAACCATGGATCAGTAAGGCCTTGATCCTGCAATGAAATCAATAGGGGCAGGCATCTGCAGAAACCTCATTGCAGGATTGGACCCTAAAAGATTTTTAAAATACTAAGCCTCATAGAAGCTTCCAGTTAGCTCATTCATTGGCATACATCTGAAAGATAACTGGGTTGTAGATTAATGAAATGCAGGACAAAACACTGTAAAAGGAAACTGTCTCAATGCATTCCAAAAAACCATGCAATTTTATGAAGAGCACTTCATAAAGATATCTCAGCTTTAAACATGACTGGATTAAAGGAGAGAGATACTGGAATTTACATCAGCAACTTGTTTTCCTGGCATTTATTCCCACTGTACTAAAAGCTGCTTCAGAAAATTTAGAAGCATAACAAAAATGGTCTGAAACTATGGACATGTTGTATCATTTCTTGTGAAGAAAGTTTTTTTTCTGCAGTTTCTCCACAATTTTCAGTTTGTCCAGTATTCTGTGTCACAAGAAATAAAAAATAATGGTAACTTAGGTACAAGTGATCATGACATGATCACGTTTATAATATGTTAACAGAATAAAGTTCAGACCAGTAAAGCATATATTCTCTCACCCACAGGTGCTTGGTGCTTTAAAAGGGCCAGTTTCATAAAGCTGAAAACAATTATGAGCCAAATCATCTGGGAGGAAGTATTTAATCAGAAAAATGTGAATGATGATTGGGAATTGCTTAAGAACACTTTACTAGATGCCCAAAAAGCCACAATGGAGGAAGAAGGCTGTATTGTTTGGGGTGGGTTTTGTTGCTCTTTTTTTAAGAAAAGAGCAACTCTAGAAGGGAAATGAAGGCAGGTGAAAAATAATATATAACAAATGAAAGGGGAAGTTGATAGTAATGAATATAAATTGGAACTTAGACACTGCAGAAAATTGATAAGTGAAACAGAGGGATTCAAGGAGAAATCTATGGCCAGCAGAGTTAAGAACAACGAGAGAGATTTAAAAAAAAGAAAAAGTATATTAGGAAAAAAGAATCTTAACATTGGTATTAGTCCATCACTAGATGGAAATGGTAGAACCAGCAATAATAATGTAGAATATGCTGAAGTTTTCAATAAGTATTCCTGTTCTGTATTTGGAAGAGGAACAGACTACTTAGTCTCATCATATGATAACGCTCTTTCCATTCCAGTAGTGTCTCAGGTGGATGTTAAACAGAGGTTACTAAAGTTAGATATCTTTAAATCAGCGTTTCTAGATAACTTCCATCCAAGAGATTAAAAATCAGCTCTTTTAAAAAAGGTTTGGAACACTGAGGAAGTTCCAGAAGGGTGTAAGAAAGCTAATGATGTGCCAGTATTTAAATAAGAGTAAATGGGATGACCTGTGTAATTATAGTCATGTCAGTCTGACATCGATCCTAGGCAAGATAATGGAGCGGCTCATACAGGACTTGATTAATAAAGAATTACAAGATTTTTATGGAACATAGATTTTTGTCAAACTAATGATATCTTTTTTTATAAGATTATAAGTTTGGTTGAAAAACACAACAGTGCAGAGGTAATAGTCTCAGATTTGTGTAAGGCATTTGGTATTGCATAACATTTTGATTAAAAAACTAGAATGGTATAAAATTAATTTGGCATATATTAAATGAATTAAAAACTGGGTAATTGATAGGACTCAAAACGATAGGGTATCGTCATCTGGTAGGATCCTGCAGGGATCAGTTCTTGGCCCTACCCTATTTAACATTTTTATCAATGGCCCAGAAGAAGACATAAAATCATCAGTGATCCAGTTTGCAGATGATAAAAAAATGGGGGCGTGATAAATAGTAGAGGACAGGTCACTAATTTACCGTGATCTGGATATCTTGTTAAATTGGATGCAAGCAAACAATATGGCTAAGTGTGTGTGTAGGAACAAAGAATTCAGGCCATACTTACACCATGGAGGACTGTATCCTGGAAAGTGGTGCCTTTGAAAAAGATTGGGGGCTGGGGTGTTGGTGAGACACTGTGGACAAAAAGGCTAATGTAATCCTTAGATGCATAAACAGGGGAATCTTGAGTAGGAGTAGAGAAGTTATTTTACCTCTATATTTGACAGAGGTGCTGCTGCTGCTGGAATACTGTGTCCAGTTCACAATTCAAAAAGGATGTTGATAAAGTAGAGTTAAGAGAAGAGCCCCAAGAATGCTTAAAGGATTAGAAAACCTGCCTAGCATTGATAGACTCGAGGAGCTCAATCTATTTAGCTTAACAAGGAGAAGGTCTACATAGAAAAGTAAAACATGATCCAGTGGAGCTATACAAATTCAGACTGGAAATTAGGTGTATATTTTTAACAGTGAGGGTAATTAACCATTGGAACAGTTCATCAAGCGTCATGGTAGATTCTCCACCACAGGCAATTTTTAAATCAGATTGAATGTTTTTCTGAAATATATGCTCTGAAAGCTTCCCCAAAATAATTCCATGACCTGTGTCATACAGGAGATCAGGTTGGATCTTTTGGCATTGGAATCTGTGTTTATGTATGCGAAAATATTTTGTGAGAATCACACCATCTATGCATAAATAATTTATTAATTGTTTTAAGTAATATTTGTAAATATGCACTGAGATTGGAGAAACAATTTATTACGATGGTCAGTTTGGGGTTTGACAGGGGTCTGGCCTTGATATACAGAAACTTTAAATAAGGTCTGGCAATATCAGGGTTCTAACCCTGTATTTGCATGCAGCTAAGTCCTTGTTTGGGGCTGGGTTCAGTCTCTCAAGACCCAGACTGTCAAGGGGAGGAGAAGGTACAGTACCTCAATAGCAGTAATTGGAGGCATTATGCCTTGGAAAGATATATTGCCTCCTGAGAGATAAGGTGGATAGGCAGCACCTTGCCACGCCTTTTAAAAAGCCTTTCTGTTTCAAAAGGCAGGGGACAAGGCCCCACTCATACACCTTCCTCACAGGGCTAGTTTGCGCTGCAAACAACATTAGTTGGCCCCTTTTCTTTGTACACGGGGAAGCTGACAGATTATATGTATCCATGAAGGCTATGGCTACACTAGCACTTTTGTTGGTAAAATTTACGTTGCTCAGGGGTGTGAAAAAAGCCACACCCCAAGCAACATAAGTTACACCAACAGATGCGCCAGTGTGGACAGCGTTCTGTTGGCAGGAGATGCTCTCTCACTGACATAACTACTGCCACTCATTCGGGGTGATTTAATGATGTCAACAGGAGAGTGCTCTCCCACTGGCATAGAGGGCTACACAGGAGATGATACAGCGGCACAGCTGCATCAGTACAGCTGTGCCGCTGTAAGGTCTCTAGTGTAGACATAGCCTTAGAAGGAGCTGTGCAGGTGGGGGCATTCTGTCCTCTGCTGATTTTAACACAGTTCTGTAAAGCAGGCACGATTTATTGCTTGGCACTTTGAAAGATTTTCCTTTTAATGGCATAGGCATTCATGCTCTCTCTCCTCTCTTTCTCTGTCTGGTTTTTATGTAGATACTGGTGTATACTGTGGTTTACAGCCATTTAAAATCCCTGTTTGCTACCTTGTGTTTAATTGTCCAAAGCCTCTCAATTCTAGAGCAAAGCAAAAGATCAATGTGAATCACTAGCAGATTGTTGAAGTCAATGTTTTTGCCTTCCCACATCCATTTCTAGTATGTAACAGAGTAAAAACAGTAAAAGTATAAAAAAGACATCTAGATGGCAGTTAATGTCAAGATTAAAAACCACACCCTAGACTTTCAGAAAATTGTTTTAATAAATGACATTAAAAGAGCAAAAGCCAGATTAACATATACTGATTAAATGGTGTTTTAAATACATTTCTGTACTCTACCCAACTGGTCTTATGAAACTAATTTAACTGTTTTGTTCTAAAAGCAGCAGATCTTTGCCAGAGGGAAGATCGGAGGTTTAATTTCACTTTTGTTTTTCGAAGACTATCCTCACCATTTTTCCTGCCCTCAAATAAGGAGGGTATTCCAGTGTTTAAGGGGAAGTTTTATGAGCAGCTTCTCAGTTTAATAAAATTATATATTACTGTTGTTTAAAACTGCAGGAGTAGCTGAAACTCCATAGTATCCCTTTACCATCTTCCTTTTTACTTGTATCTGTTTCCCCCCATCACCACCCTCCTTTGGATTTTGTGCTCATTTCTTCCCTAACCCATCTTCTTACCTCCTTTTTGGAAGAGTTTCCTAATTTATCATCTCTCCCTTCCCCTAAAAATATATGGTGAGGAATGTCCATCTGGTTATGGAAGGCCAGATACACCCTGTTTAATTTAATTTAATTACATTTAATGAGCCAAAGGATGTCACTTCAAAACTGCCTGAGGTGCTCTTTTGCTTTGTGGCTGAATGTTCTGACCCATGTTCCTGCTGTTCATGGGACCTGATATGTGCTTTCATGCATTCCATGTCTGCCTTCATTAAAGGGCTATACCTGTGATATAGTGCCAATGTCAATACTAATAGTGCATTGTATCCATATTAGCCACTCTGTGTTGGTTCCTCTTCTGCCTCATGTACACACTTGTGCTGTATTGCATCATTGCAGTTGCACTGCCTTTTGATTACCTGTCCCTCAATTCCCAATATAATAACATGAAGCAGTGGCTTGTGGGGTATTTTGAAATCAGGAACACTGTGTGAACCCTAGGGAATTATTGGAGAAGTGGACAGCTTTCCATATGTTACTAATATACTCCTATAAATATCGAAGTGGTGGG